GGGGGAAGACGAGGAGTTTGATGGGTGCACGCTATTGTATTATGATGTACATGATGAACGCTAACCTCAATAACAAAAACTTAAGATCAAATGTCATTCACAACCTTCAAAGTATACCTTTGGATGCAAAATGTCCTATTAATTGTTAATATTTTTAGTTTTAGCCCTAAACTATCTAAAATGTATTAATCAGCCCTTAATGCAACACACCCGTTAAAGCAAACAGAAAAACTTGGTTTAGAAGGGGAAATTACTTTGTTAACCTCTAAGTTTATCCCTAATCCCCCATTAAACACCTTATAGTGTTTACTTTTTTTTTTTTGGTCTCAATCCCCAATAGTATTAACAAGCAAAAAAACTTCAACGTAAAAATTATTAAAAACTATGGAACTGTTTGGTTTGTGTCTCTAAAATAGTTTTATGTTCTAAAAAATAGTAAACTCTTGAGATGTTATTTGAATAGCAATTTTTAAAAATAATTTTTCAAAAAAGTGGGAATTAAGAACAAAAACTAGAGTACATCATTTAGTTGTTTTCTGAGTTTGCAAACCAAAATAGAAAAATAAAGGGAAACAACCCTAAATTCTTTAATGAGGCCTCTTCTTCAAACCTCCTTAGCAACAAAACTTGTCATAGTATAAAAGGTTTTTTTTTTTTTTGGCTTGTCTCTCCCTTCCGGACTTTCTCTCGCTCTTTGACTTTCTCTCTCTACTTCAGTGAAACTAGACGTCTTCTTCATCTCTCCAACAATCGGAGAGCTCCGACGACTGAGAGAGAGCTCAGACGAGATCATCTTCTGCATCTTCTCTGACGACTGAGAGCCCTCTGGCAAGGTTCAGATCTGGTCTTCTCCGGCAAAAGGATATCACTCCAACAAGTTCCTTTAGATAATCTCATTATCCCATTCCCCCACTACACCTTTTAGGTTCTTGTACCAGTCTGTACTGTCTTTCTCTCCTTTGGTCGCTATCTTTTTCTCCTTTGGTCACTATGCAGCCAACATACGATGAAGCTTAAAGCCATTAACATCAGTCGATGGGTTCATCTACTCTGACGAAGCTCCGACAATGTAGTTTAATCAATGGCTAGATTTTTTTTTTTTTATTTTATCAAATTTATTAGGGCAAATGGCACTTTGCCACCTGAAAGATTGCAAAAATTTTAGTTTACACCATGAAAGATTGATTGTTCCAAATTACACCCTCAATGTTAATATTTGGTGATAATGTGGCCCCAAGACTGATGGATGTCAAACTTGCTGTTAATCCAAGCTATGTCGTGAGATGTACATGTTAACCTAAAGGGCAATAATGTAAAAACACCACAAACCCAATTTTTCCAAATTGAAACACTTAGGCTACTCAAAATCCTTCGGCGAATCAAAACCCATTATGTACTTTCAGAAGGCCTCTATTGCTGCTTTGGTTGAAGGTTGTGAGTTGAAGCTTGAAAATTGAAAAATGTCTTGGGTGGTAAGGGAAGAGAAATACAGACAAGAAGCACCGAATTATGGTGAGAGATATATTGTGCAGTGTGAGTGTTTATGGTAAAAAGTTTTTATTCAGATTTGAGTGTATGTTTTTTGTATTATATTATTTAGAAATGGGTTTATGCTTTGTATTATATTATTTTTGTTTTGTTTTTACCTGATTCACGTGAGTGAAGTTGGTTGTATATATCACTGGGGTAATAAACAACTGGGTTGTTTTGTTTGTGGGGGCAGACTTTTAAATGTGAATGTTGTCTTTTTGTTTGGATTTTTCATTTTTTAATTGTGAATGTAGTCTTTTTGTTTGGATTTGGCTACAAACAATGGGGATGGTTTTTTCACAATCATAATGCATCATGGTGGCCAATTCCAAAATGGGAATGATCGAGTGTACGTTGAAGGGAGGGTGAATTACCTTGATTTGTGTCACATAGACCTGCTTTCTTTGATAGAACTGGAGAATATGTTGAAAACAATGGGATTGGGGTACTGTGGGATTGTCAGATTTCATCTTAGAATTCCTAATGGATGGAAAATTTTAGATAAAGATGAGGATGTTTTGGGTTTGGGCAGTTGGGTCAACTAGCACAAAGTGCTTAATGTATATGTTGAACACACCAAAGGAGAAGTCCTTGATCAGAGCCAGGCACAGTCAAATTGTATTCCTATTGCACAAAAGTTTGATGGGGGAAATAATGTGGGTGGTAGTGTTGTGGCTTCTGATAATGCATTGGACAGTGAGTCATCACAATATGAGGAACACTTAGACAACTCGACTTTAGATGATGAGTACTTCGATGACAATGAGTATGATTTGGATGGAGTACAACTGCATGATACAATGGTTGATGAAGATGTGAGACTAAGGAATGAAATAGAAAAAAGGGAAGTGGTTGGTAATGGCACTGGAAGAAACAAAAGGAAATGGGTTGAGAAAGATAATACAACAACAATGAGTACTGCTGAAGAGAATATTAGTGAAGATTGTGATTCAGATGAACTAAGAGGTATTCCTATGACGCCCCAAAATCTGGGTGTCCGTAATTACCTCGTTAATCACCCATCAATTCGTGGAATACCCGTGGATACCGTGTAAGTCGATATCACGCTAACTTAACAAAATTCGGTTAGAGTCTCCTTTGTACGAAAACCTTTACCCAAAACATAACTTGTGCAATCATACAACATTGATCACACCAGGTCTATTTATTCATACTCATATAACAACATGCAATTTTACATTAAAAATAGTTCATATGAATACGATTACAATCTTTTACATACATTACATGCCCAAAAACTAATTGACATCTTAAAACATAGTTTAAAAGCCACTTTTCGGCTTTTCTTCATCAACAAGGGCCTGAATTAGAGTCGTCTACCGGCGCATGTCCTGCACCAGAAATATTAACCGCATAAAGGGTGAGCTATGCTCAATCGGGTATCTCCTAAAGAGACTACTCCCCAACCTAGATGCATATGAAATGCTCACATGCAATTCACAAGCAACAATCACTCCATTCCAGAATATGCAATTCAACAATGGAATCCTCAATGTTAAATCATGATATGAGATGATACTCACACATGAAAGTTAACCTAAGCCTTTACCGGCTCCCTCAACACATGCAATGTCATGCATATGACCTTTTTAAATTACGGGTCTTTCTTGGGGTGAGTATTTATTAACTTACACTAACGGGCACCCAACTGACATGACATTAATGGACTTCTATCAATGGCTCCGCGTACACCGACACACTTTATGGACTCAATACTAATGGAGTGCGTATCCGAATCACTGGGTTTTGTACCTAAGGGAGAATCTAACCCTTCTTGCTAACCCCGACCCTATTTTCAATGCAAATCGTACAATTCAATTAAACCTCAGTCCAACTATCCTGAGCCCATGTATCATTCACCAAGAATGGTATTTGATCAAATCATGCACACACACCCACAATCATGTCAAATGCCTACGAATATGATGTTACCCGTGCATATGTAATATAAATGTACAATTGCATTTCATATCATTATGCAACTAGAATCTCAATTGTAATTACAATACCATGTTCAATATGTCATGAGCATATTATGAACAATTTAAATATCCAATCAACATTTTTCATGATAAATTACATTATAAGCATATAACCACTATTAACAACTTCAATGTCAATATATCATATACATATATTAACATTTTTCAACATCAAATTTCAAGTATATTATAACATAATCAATGCAAATAACACACTTAATCGACATAGACATTTAATCAAACACTTTCAAGGCACCAAATCATGTAAATACATAATATGCCCAATTTCATCACATATCTCAAGAAATCACAACAAATAATTTATACATACTCAATTCATGTTAGAATTGATTTTAACCATTCTTAATATCCATTTCTCACATTTCAAGTACCATAGGTAAGTGCTAAACATGAGATTACATCTCTAACACTCTACTCTTTCCATATATATTCCAAGCATGTTATAATATAACAAATGCAAATAACACACTTAATCCAAATAGGCATTTTATCAAACACCTTCAAGTCATAAAATTATTTAACACATATTATGTCCAAATAATCACATTTATCAAGAAATCACAACAAGTAATTTTTACGTACTCAATTCATGCTAGAAATGATTTTAATCATTCTTAATACCCATTTTTCACATTTCAAGTACCTATACTTTTCATGAATTTATGAAACAAGTAAATTCAATAGACCCAATTCATTTAAGATTGGTTTAGCATATTTCTATACCTATTTCTCGCACTTTATTTACACTAGGAGTACATTAAATAAGAGAATTTATCTCAAGTCATGCTACTCATATAATATAGAGCCCTAGGTTGATAATAAACCTAATTAGGAAAAGAACCATACCTCTTGAAGTGTAAAACAATGGTAAGAAGGTCCAAGAACCCAAAACAAGCTCTACTCCAAACTTTCTCCAAAATCTTGTTCTTGTAATTTCACCAAAATCCAACTTTTTTGGTATGGTTTTGTAGCCCTCAACTGAGAGAACAATTTTTGTTCTTGGCTTGAGTTGTACCTATATTTTGATTTTTTGGATAATCTTATGAGTATGGGGAGAAATCTGAGTTTTCTCCCCCAATTTATACCTTTTAAATGTTTGGTCCTCATTGTGCCACACGTTCTTTATTCCTGGGTCCAACTTCGTCTCAAAACGATTAAATTTCATCTCGGTTCAAGTTCAAAATATTTTTATATGAAATTCTTTTAAATTATTTTTTAAAATTTATTTCATTTTTAGGTCATGCGATACTTAATTATCTCGTAAAACGTGAAAATTTGATTGTCTCAAAATTCAACAAAAATTGACTGGATAACTAGATTTCACGAGACGAATTCAACGGGTAGGTCCATTTAGTTATCTGAATTCTAGAAAAATTCAGGTTTTCAACTCGTACCGTAATGATAAATTACCATTTTACCCTTTTTCACAAAAATTCAAATTTATCTGAGTTTTACAATTCCAAACTCATCATCAAAGGAAGATGAAAATAGGGTGATATACCGAGTGTTTAATGCCAAGACTGATACGGGTGATCCACAATTCAAGTTAGATATGTTATTTAAAGACTCAAGTGAGTTCAGAGCTACTGTTAGACAACATTCTATTAAATAGGGTAAGCAGATAAAATTTCTCAAAAATGAGAAATATAGGGTGAAGGTCATATGGAAATCAGGTTGTGATTGGATGATTTATGTGTCATGCATTCAAGGGCATAAAACAATGCAGGTTTAAATATACATTAATAATCACAGCTGCAATAGATCTTTAAAGGTGAAGGCTGCAAATGCTAAGTGGCTAGCTAGTACATATGTTGAGAGGATTGGATCAAATCCTACATGGCCAATGAAATCACTTAAGAAAATAGTTGAGAAGGAAAATATTTTGAAAATGCATAGAAGTCAGGTGTAGAGGGGAAAAATTAAAGCAACAACATATGTCAGTGAGACTAACAAGGAGTAATATGCTCTTCTCTAGGATTATTATGAAGAACTAAGGAGAACAAACCCAGGAACCATATGTATTATTAAAACCAAATCTATAGGGGTTGATCAAGTCAAATTCAAAAGATTATACATTTGTTTTGGTGCATTAAAGAGAGGTTTGATTAAAGGATGCAATCATTTAATTAGTGTTGATGAGTGTCATCTTAAGGGGGGACAAACTGGTATTTTATTGTCAGTTGTGGGGATTGACACCAATAACCAAATGTACCCTTTTGCCTTTGCTGTTGTGGAGAAAGAAAAGAAAAAGTCTTGGAATTTGTTCCTTCAACTGGTGAAAGACGACTTGAACATTTTTTATTCACATGCCTGGACATTTATCTTAGAAAAGCAGAAGGTTAGATGTAATTGACTTCATTTTTTTTTACCTTTGTTTACATTTATATCTTTTATGTAGTCATTATTTGATTACCTTAGTTGTAGGGAATTTTAGATGCAATTGAAAATGTTTTTCCAAATTCTGCGCATACGTTTTGTGTAAGACACTTGTTCACGAACTTCAAAACAGAGCATAAGGGTTTAGCATTAAAGGATTTGTTGTGGAGGGCTGCTAAGTCTGCAAACATGGTTGATTTTAAAGGAGTAATGAATGAATTACATAGGGTTGATGAAGATGCATACAAGTGGTTGTGTGATAAATTAGCAGTCAATTAGTCTCGGTCTCACTTTAGTACATTTCCTAAGTTTGACATTTTGTTAAATAATTTGTGTGAAAGTTTTAATGGCGGCATAGTTGAGTCTAGGGACAAGCCTATTATAACAATGCTTGTGAAAATTAGAATGTGACTATTGGAAAAAATACACAGGCAAAGAGATTACTTGAAGAACTATAGAGGCTCTATATGTCCTAACATACAAAAGAGATTAGAGTTTGTTAAAGTGAAGGCTGCATCTTTCATACCTAATTGGAATGGAGAACACAAATTTGAGGTAGTGGGGATGTATGGTGAGAAAAGAACTGTAAATGTGAAGATAGAAATTGCAGTTGTAGGAAGTGGGACTAAATTGGAATTCCATGCAAGCATGTAGTTTCTACTCTCAACTACTTGGGGTTATAGCCAAAGGATAATGTTGTTGATTGGTGCACTGTTGAAACATTTTTAAAGTGTTATAGTCATCTCATGAATAGATAGAATGCTTGGAAGGCCCATGAAAGGTAGGAGGAGAGAAAATGATGAACCCCCATATGGAACTAAATTAAAGAGGAAGTACAAGGCCATGGAATGTGGTAAATGTGGATAGATTGGATATAATTAGAGAAAGTGCCACACTCCAGCTGCTGCAGAGGACAGTGACCCATCTCATGCACCAATACCACCAGTTGCTGTATCAGAAGTTGGCATCAGTCAAAAACGTCAAATTGCATCAAAAGTTTTTATCATTTATAGAGGTCCAAGGGGTCAAGTTACTTGTAAGCATTATTAATGTTCAATTACATCATAAGGTATTTTTTTATTTTTTCTACAAACTTGGTTTAACTTATATTGTGCAATGTGGTCTATGGTCCAGATCAAAAGGAAAAATTATCCTTTAACTCCACAAGATGTTGTTAAGACTACTACTAAGACTAATCAAAGAGGACCAACTACAGCATGCAAAAAGGACCAACGACAACAGACCTCCCAGCAGTTGCACATGGTGGGACTAATAAAAAAGGACCAGCTAGGATTACTGCTGAGACTAATAAAAGAGGACCAAATGCAGCATACATTGGGTTCAAACTGCCAATTCTACCTCAGCAGACCTCCCAAACATATTCAACATTTAGAGCTCCAATAAAGCTATTCATACCTCCCAGGCCAATACTACCTCAGCAAACCAAGTTAGCTTCACCATCATCATTCCAAATTGTGCATCACTCCCAGGGCAGTGCCAAAACTAGTAGTAGCAATAGTTCAACAAAAGGTTCATCATTTCAGCCAAAGAAGAAGGCTACAACAAAGAAAAAATTAGTGGCAGCTGGGAAACAATAATTGACTTTTGTGCTTCACACTTTTGTTCTTGTTTTTGGACATGGATAGCACACGTGT